AATTATTTTTATTGCAATTCATGTGGACAAGAAAAAACAATTTTTTTTTTAAATATATTAATAAAATGATTAATTATTATCAAATGAGAAGAAGCGATGATTTAGTAAATGATCAATTTTAGTTAAACCATTTTTTTTTTAATTAGTGTGGACTCTCAACGTTCCTAGGAGATTTAAAAGGCCTCATATAATGATAACGAGACAATGATTAATAAATGTAACTAAAGATTTATTAGTTACATTTCAAAAAGCAAATGTTATTTATAATTCATGGGACGTTGATTGAACTACCCGTTTAGAGTGCATATTTGTGCTATAACTAATCCTCGAATGTTATATCCACACGATAAAATAAGAACTAAGAACAATCGAAGATTTATTTGGTCAATGTTTCTTAATTAAGATAATTTTAATTTATAAATCACCAGTATTATGAACGACATTGGGAACAAAAATTGTTTATCAAATATTTTCAGGATGTTTTATTAATTTTTTTTTTTTATATTACAGTAATTTGGAACTTTAAATCTTAGTAAGTGAATTATTAGATTAATACATTTTCATATGAAGTATCTATAATCACAATTGATTATAAAAGCTATTCGTGCATGTAATTTAATATATAAAAACGTATACTACAAATAATTCTTAGTTCTAGTATAAAAAAATATTATCAGGTTATCAGATAATAAAATTATAAAAGTAAAAAATGATATTGATATCAGTGAATATATTAACAATATGAAAAAAATATAAATTGGTCGCCTTATAAAAACGCATTCAAATAAATAATAAAAGGTACTACAAATAAGTAAAGATAATATATAATATGCACACAAAGGAATATAAAAATTCATAAAAACAAAAACTATATATTTATATATATATATTTATACATACTTATACTTTGTGTAAAAAAAATGGTATATTTATTCAATAATACGTTTTTTATATAAGTCAACTTTTGTATTCAGTTTCGTAGTTGTTAAAAATAAATGTTTTCTACTTTTTAGAACGTTATTCAAAATTTACATATTCAATACATGATACATGATCTCAATCATTATTTTATTACCTATTCAATACTTACAATTTAAAAATATATAAGTACCTACGCATAAAATTTAATTTTATTGATTTCAATGTATTCACGTATGTGATATCTTTTGAAAACTTTGAAATACCGTTAAACTACCAACATTATTAAAATATGTTTTAATATTAATTGCATATCGTTTTTTATTTTTCGAAAACTATTTATCTTAATTATGTACCATTATTCTTATTAAAGGCCTTGCAAACTTCAATATCATCAATTCAGTATCATCAATCTATATATGTTACATTGTGTTATGTCAGAATATAAGTGGTCATATTATTTGAATAATATATTTATATAAGTTCACTTTAAGCACTTAGGTTAAGTTACCACTTACAAACTTCTACAGGTGTTTAATTGTATAAAAAAATAACTCATATTTTACCACATATTTTACTAATATATTGTATAAAATAAAAAAGCTCTTAAATCTAAAATGTTTTATTTTATATTTATATATATATATATATATAGAACCATATATAGTTATACATCATTTAAACTAGATAAAATCTATTTTTAAAAGCTAAACAAAATATTTATGAATGAAAATTAAAAAATGTAAAAAATGTATTATAGAACTAATATTTAATTTAAAAATACTAATAAAATAACTTCTATATTATTTCACACACGTATATTTATTAATTTAATTTAAAAAGATAACTATTATTCAATTAATGTCCAATATTTTTTAATAAGGAAAAAGTTTTTTTTTCTCGTAAATGAGTGTATTAAAGAAAATACATTTTATAAAATGCAATATATAATTTCTTTCTTTTTTCTTCTTCTTGGATATTACCAGCCGGTTATTACCGGCCACTAGGACCTTCCCGTCGAACAACCAATCCTCATACATAATATTAGTGCATAATATCTTCATTCAAATTGTCCGTTAGTTTACTGACACTTTAAAGTAAATTTAAATTTATATATAGTGTAAAATATATTTCTCAAAATTTTATTTTTTGTATTTATTATGATAACTTATTACATTTTAATCTATAATTTGATTTTTAAGTACAATGCACGTATTGAAGGATCATAATATAAAATAAATAAAATAATGATAGATACGTTTAGTAAATGCAAATACTAAAACTATAAAAACAAATGTAATATATCAATTGTTTTGATACTTAACCATTTCAGTTTTTTAAATATATCAAATAGTTAAACAATAAAAAATAATTAAGATCCTTATTACAATAAATATTTTGGGTAAATAACAATTTCAGTCTTTTGAATGTTAAATTTAGTAAATTTCAGATAGTAAAATTTTAAAAATAAATTATATTTATCTATATATCTAAAATTTCCTATTTTAATAGTTTTAATTAATACTTATGTATTTGATAAATGAAGATTAAGGTTTTGATACATGACGTGGATATACTGCAAAGCCGTTTTTATATGAAACTATGTTAACTACGCAAACTGGGAAATCAGTTTACTAAAATAACATGCAATATCTCTATATCAGTATATCTATATTGTTATATTCCTTTGGACATGCTAGATACTGTGTTTTTCTCTAGTACTGAACAATATTTTGGTCGTCATAGTATAATAATAATAGCCTTTCTATAGTATTTTCATTTGATATTCTGCATTTTATCAAAGGAACGGTAAAATTAGTGGTATCCAGCAACCCCGAATATGAAAAAACCTTAATTTTTAAAATTTAGCGTATATTACTAGCTACTTTACTAGAAGGGCAGAATAGTAATTACTCATAAAAACATTAACTATAGTTGATAATTTATTTTTATTATAAGATATACATAATTATTAGTTTTTTTTTTTTAATTTCAATTTCGTTAGAATAAAGATAATATATTTCAAAAATCAATTTTAATGGATATCAATATTTTTAGAAGTGATTCATTCCATACAATAGCTTCAATAGAATAACAATATATTGTTGTGACTGATCAATGATTAAAAAAAAAAGAAAAAGAATGTCAACTTTATTAATTGATTACTAAATATTTATAGCTGTTTCATAAATGTTCTGTATTTAAATTCTAAATAATAATTTTAAAATTCTCGTTTTTATAAGACAAAAATAAATCTTTCTCGTTAAATCGATGAAACGAAAATATACATACAGTGTAATTCAACGTCTGTCAATGGATTTCATGTGGGATCCATTGAAAACAGTATAAATATCATATTTTCTAGAAATAACGTTAACCATTTATGTAATCACTTTGCTGTAATGTGCGAACAAAGGCAAATTAAAAAAAAAAAAAAAAAACGTTAACCATTAATACTTATTTTAAGATTAAGTAATTGAATGGTTCTTGAATGTAAATACGTTTATTCTATGTTGACAGTTAAATTCATCGTTTTCTAACATTATCTTATTACTTTTTTTTTTTTTGCCAAATTAGCACAGTGTTTTACAATAAAATTAATTGTAACTTATCGGTTAGTTTTAAAAGTCCAGATTGTTTCGTAAAATTTTTTCACCTGCGGAGAACCCAATTTTGTAACAGTTTACAATAGGACAGTCCATATCTTCGATATCTTCAGAATTTTATTTTCTCACCGAAAACAGTACAATATTGTGTGGTCTTCTAGAAATATTTTAGAACATTGTTTTACGAACTTCTTTGTTTAAGAAAAATAATAAAACTGTATATTTTTGGTTCATATTATTTACAAATTTTAATATAAATTAAATTAAATATAAAATGATTGTATAACTTTTATCACATGAAATCACATTAGGTATGCAATAAATATATGTTTTATTTTAGCTCTCTGAACTCTCTAACTAATTTCTTAATGATAAATGAATTACTGAATGTGATTTTTTTTCTTATTGAATTTCCAAAATTATTTTAATAATTAATAATTCTTCGAATTACAAAACATTTTATTAAACTTAATATCAGAATAGTTTTTTAATAAAATATTTAAGTTTTTAGATATAACATATTATGTTTATGTATGAACGATATATCCCCTCTTTTAAATCTTTTTAAGATGCATTCTTAAAGGCTTTAGATTTAGAATTTAAGTCAGAACCATTATTTGTTTTACTAGGTATAATAACCAATTATTAGTTAGCTAAAGTTATTTTATATTATTATAGTTCTTTTATACTTTTATCATACTAAAATCATTTTGAACCTGTCTATGTTCAAATTATTTAACTATTCATAATGGCATACTTACGATAAATAAAATCTGTATAACCTTCCCTCTTACCACTCAATTTAAATAAAAAAAGATCTAAATGTATTCAAAATAAACAGTAAATAATTTTTAAAGTTCTCCAAATATCAACAAGTCTTTTGGTTTTTTCTTCTATGAAAAAAAGAACAATTATCTTAAAAAGAAATATAGTGAATAGGTACTTTAGAAACCCTGCATCAGAGATATATTAATACTGTTAAAATACATTATTAAATAAAACAATGGAACAACTCAGAAAATATTTAAATGTGTTCTCGGTCAATATAAAAGATTCAATAACATTCCAAGAGATTCTATTAAAAAACGAAAGTGGGAATTTTCATTATTATTTTTCTTTGTGTTACATTTATTAACAGTAGAATAATGAACCATCGTTATTATTGTAATAATGATCTGAGTTCTTAAGTTGTATTTATTTCATTTTGTAATAGAATTAAGGTATAATGAGATTCATAATGGAATGATAGGGAAGAGTGTAGAAAATTACAAGGGTAAAAACTAAATGGAGACAATAGTCTGTGGACGAATACTTTTTTAACCCCCGTTCACGGATTAAAATTTATATGACCTAATTTTGGTTATTCAACAAAATATATAATATTTAATGTATATTACTATATTCTTTAGCCGCATGGTGCGCCCTACACGTCTGTCGTCAGTTTTTACATCAGTCGCCTAGGCAGTGAAGATATCGATTCAACTTTAATTTTCATGACCCACAAAATAGTGCAATTCTTTCATATACAAGAAAAAAATTTCCATTTATAATTTCACAAACCATTCAACTAGATAACTACCACGAAAAAAAATGACGGTAACAAACCGTAAAAAACAAGGCGATATTTATAAAACAAGTTCGTCCATCGCAAGCAATGTGATTAACAAGCCAAACGTTTCAGTACACAGTTTTTCCACATTGTCGGATTCTTACTGGTAGGTTATACAAATAATTAATTTTAATTACAAATATCTGTCAGAAAAAAAATTTTCAATCGAGTATTTTTTTCAAAAATACTAATATAAATGCATATCTCTACTACTCTGCTACCGATGTACTTAATAGATAATGCGAGGTGTGACTATTTAAAAACGCGAATTTTGTTATAAAAATGATTTATTTATAAAATTACAATATATGGAAATAATTACCAAAAGTAAATTTAATCAGCTTAACAAAGACGAAAATTAATAAGTACTATTCATTATTCACAGATAATTATTTTAGTATAATGGATTTAGAATTGTATCATTTATTTGATTCACTATTGATTATGGTACAATTTTAAATTCATAATTATTCTGTAATAATTGTACAAAATATGACGATTTTTTTTTTTTAATTTATAGCACTAATAATTTTGATGAAAATTATAGTCTCATGACATTACCAACATCAGATAATTCTACTGCTTCATGGCTAGATGTAAGATTGAAAAATTATATATATATATATATATATATATATATGTATCACAGTAAAATATTTTCATGTTTTATGATATATATGATGATTTATTCTCGTAGGCTGACGATAGCTACCAGGTCGTTGATTTTCTAGATAAAGCGACACGTATACTCCACAACGAAGAGGACTTTTCTGATGCATATCACAACCAGTTACGTTTTGAGTATGAACAATGGAAAAGAATTCCTCACTTAAGGTAATTATTTAAAAAAAAAAAATCTGCTTCAGAAAAATTATTTATAAATTATTTTGTTACAAAGATACACTTTAAACATGTACATATAATTGACAAATTTAAAATTCATAACAAATAATTTTCATTATTATTTGTCGTTAAAATTAAAAAGGACTTTGGAAAAAATATATAAAAATAAAGTACTATTATTTTCTATATAATTAAAAATAATAATAATGAGGTAGAGATAGTATTGTCATTGTTCCAATAAAAGAATACAAATTAATATATACATATATATACCTACTAAATTTACCAACTTATTGTTTCGTAAATAATTTGTAATAACGAGATTATTGAGATTTTCTGGAATAGAGTTTTCCAATCATGAAGATCTGGTAAGCATAGGTATAATATATATTATAATATTACTATTACATACATTATACAATTACGAAGAACAATAAGTGTAGCTAATATGTAATAAAAGTGTTCACAACCAAAAAAAAAATTTGCTTATAGTATAACTATATAGTATATATAGTATAACATGAAAGATGGACACAAATAAGTAATTTATGGTAAAATAAGTAATATTTAGAATGTATAATCAAAAATCACTTATTTGAAAGTATCTTATTAATTGTATTTTAAACGAACTATAGTGTCCAACTATAGTTACATAAAGTACTTTTAGGATTTTAATTATATATTAGTAGATTTCTACAATCATAATTTTTATTTAACATGCAGAATGTGTTTAACAAAAGAGCCGATAATAAAATATTAATTAATATACAAATAATTTTAAATAATATACTAAACAGAAAAGATAACAATTAACATTTAAATTAAATAAATAATAACATTAACATTCACAAATACACTTAAGTTCTTAAATCAATTAAAGTATTTATATACAAATTATGAGAATCAATTGATACATTTGAGAAAAAATCATCGTTAAAATGATTTACTGACTAGGTGAATTAATTTATTTATTAGAGCAGTTTGACTACAGTTAAAATGCTGAAATTATACATACAATTATTTACTTGTCTTATTCCTTACTTATGAACTGTTAATAAACCCATTACTTAATTTAAAAGCAAAACACAAACCTAATATTACGTATTACCTAATAATTATTACATTGGAATTATATAAATTTATTTAAATTGAATGTAAAATATCTCCTCCGATTTCATGCAATATAAATAATTATTAATTATGTTTTTTTCACAAAATACCAAAATATACCAATAATTATCAAGCTATAACATCTTTTAGATAAAAACAATAAGAAATAAAAATTTAAAAAAAAAATAATACTTCTTTTCTTTTATCTGATGATTCGTCTTAAGTTTAATACATTTAGTTGTTATAATGAGTGAGATATATAAAATATTTTCATTGTTATGCAGAAGTTATAACATTTTTATTTTGAATCGATTTTATAATTATTTTGTTGGTAAATTATGTTTATTAAATCGAGTGAAATAAGACCATGTATCTAACATGTTAATAATAATTTACATTTTACATGGGTATAAATTACAAATTAGTTATATATGTTACCGGCAATATGGATAATTCGGGTATTTTGCAAAATGTTAGGCATTATGCAAAATGCCAATTTTTTTTTAGGCAAATTACATAACAATTTACTATATATTATATTACATTAAGATTCTTATGATTATTATACATAACTACTCATATTACAGACAAAATTTAATTTTTATCTTTTATTATATTATTACTATTATATAAATATTTTACTTAAACTACTATTTACTTATTATAACATGTTGTAGAAAAGTGACATTTTGACGTGCACTAAATGTTATTTTTAAGGCAAATACACTTTTTATTTTGACTTATAAACACATTTTAAAAATCCTTGGTCAATTCTAATGGATTGAATTTTTGTTAACTCGTTTTACTGTTCATTAGAAAAAAAATTAGTATTAGTAGTATTATAAGTTTTAAAAAAATGTTATAGTTTGTTATAAAAATTTGATTTCATATAAATCGTATCCATAGTTGCAACACCGTAACGAGACACGAAAATGATGAGAAAAATGATGGTATTGTAATAAAATTATCATTACGTTCAATATTGTACATCAGAATTATTATTATAGTAGTAAACGTATATTAATACTTATTGCGTTAAATCGTGCACGCACATTTATGAAAAAACGATAAGTTAAGTCATTGGTAATAGGCGATGTCCAATTTTGTTTGTTTTCTTCATATTGCCTACTTTACGATTGGCATTATACATTATACCTAGGCAAAGCTCGTATTATGTATATTGCCGAGTGATTTTTGGCATTTTATATAATGCCTAGGCATTTTGCAAAATACCGAATTATCCATATTGCCGGTAACATATATAAATTAAATTGTTCGTCATTTTCAAAAGTTATTTCATTAATTCAATACTTGGAATTGTAAATTAAAATTAGGAAAAATCATTTATGTACTTAGAATTTTTACATTTTCACAATTCTAGAAAAACAAAGTCTATGAATTTATAAACTTATGAAAGAAGTAAATTAATATTATTATAATAGCTATACAAAGATACAATTATCACATAATTCAAAATGGTTAAAATTTCTGAACTATTATCAAATTTCAACTTATATATTACAGTCTAAATACAGTATATAATTTGTTTAAGATAGCAAAACTTATACTTTTTTTATGATATTAAACATTATTGGCTATAAAAATAAGATATAAATTCTACATATCATATAATTTCTTTTTTACTATATTTCTCAACTAGAAAATATTTGATGAATATTTAAAAAAATTTAATAATTTTTCATGTTGGTATAATATTATGTAAATACGAACCCTTTGTACACTCACATATTCATTTATATGAGTTATAGAACTGACTTTGACAAAATAATAATTTCACGTATTATCACGTATTTTAAATTGTTGTTTGTATTCAGGTTTAATTAAACTTTAAACATTATTTATTTTTAAACTAAATCCCACGTTATCCGACTAATAAAATGTGTTTGGGTGAAAAAGAAACTTTTCATCTCTTTCAGTGGTTATTGATGATTTCTAATAAAATTGTTATAAAAGTATTAGCTAAATTACCCGGCGTTACTCAGAAAAATGATTGTATTGTGATTGTTTAACTCTACGGGTGTAATTCATTGTGGAAGCAATGTCTTTTAAAGTTTGAGTCACTCAAAATAACGTTTAAAATAAAGTGTAATTTAACATAAAACACTTTTGAAAAATAAAAAAATATATTTATCTACATTCAAATATTTTTCTTCGAGCCCTTATAGGTTTGTTGTATTTATTAAAACGTAAATAAATATTAAATTAAAAATGATAGTAATTAACTACAAATAAAAATAAAAGTTTATAAACAATGAATAATATATAAGAGTATTACCTACTCATAATTATAAGAAATATTAAATGTTTAACATATAGTTTAAAACGTAGTCGATTATCTGTCCGAATTCCTGAATTATTACGCCCATATAATTTGCGGTACTATATAGTTTTCAGTAGGATTAATTTGATACAATGTTGCTGCGATTCTGTGAACTTTAGGTTATTTTTTTAATAGGCAGCTCTGTTCATTTCGATGTGGTTCTCCTTTTTTTTTTACACCGCTATTACATTACCTTAAAAATTAGTTTGTACTTTTTTGCAGCTTGTTTTATTTGATCTCTTTTTACTCTATCTATACACCTAGCACGGCATTTTTTTTTAACTGATGGTACTATAGTAGAATTTCATAAAAAACTAATATTTGGAAGAGATAAATATACATAAAAATTACCGCTATTAATACAACCAGTTTTCTTTTTAAGGGAAATATTTCTGTACAGATTCTTATATAAAAATTTTGGTTGTAAAATTTGATAAATCCTTCTTTCTACAACCAACTCGCAAAAACCAGCATAGATTGATTAAATTTACATTTCACATGCATAATTTGTAGAAAATAGGAAGTTATTGCTATTTGAATAGTAAGACATATGAGCGAAGTCATTCCAATGATCAGCCACATGTGAAACAATTTTATTTATTACAGGGGCGTATTTAGACTTACGTCTAGTGGGGGGACTCATATGTTTTCTTTAATTCAGGCTCAAAATTTACAAGTAAAATTTTTGGTAATGTTTAAATCAGATAAATTTTTAATATTTGTGGTTTTTTTTTTTTAATCTAATGCTGGATCCACTTAGAATCGATTTTGAGTAGTTCTTTTTTAACAATTGTGTTTTGAGAGTTACACTTGTGTTTTATCTGATTTTTCACTAAGTATGAACCCGACAAAAAGCTAAATTCAGTATTCATAGCCACGCGTAATTTTATTTCGTTATAAAATTATCCACATTAAAAAATTTTTTTAATAACCTAACCCTTGCTCACCGGACCTTTCCTCTTGTCATTTTTTTTTTTTTTGTTCCCAAAATTAAAATTCACCTCAAAGAACAATAAATCATCAAATTGATGATATTAAAATAATAAAAAAAAAGGTTAGTGGATCAACTCAACTTATAGCTGAAGACTTATTTATCAATATTATTTCAAAAAATTGCTGGAGTGATGGAATTAGTGCATAATAATCAGTGAAAAATAATTTTAAGGGGATTAGTATTTTGAGAAATATTTGTTAATTTAAATCATGAAAAGGAAAAAAAATCCCGTTATTTTTTTATAACACTTTGTTTAAATAATATTAATAAAATCTTCGTTGCTTGATAATTTTAAAGCTTTTCAATACTTCACATTAGCTTTTCGGTTTTTTTTTTTTGGTTGAAGTATTTTTCTTTATCGATATAAATTGAAAATATTCATGAAAAACTTATTAGTAAATAACGAAAAACTATAAACGTGTTTATTAAATAACAGCTGATCACGTCAGTGTTGTGTTTTATTTTATTTCTAAAAGTTTTGTTTATTTAGTTATATAAAACAATCATCTACTTTGTTCTTGAAATAATTATATATATCCAAATTATTTCAGTTACAGATTGACAATATTGCTATAATAATTTTTATAATTACGTTAAACATTTTGTAAAATTTTTAAAATTTAAAACTCTCTATATATTCGTCCATATATAAAAATGAATTATTTCTTAAATGTATTATAAATACATGAAAAATTTATTTATTTTCATCATCAACTTATTAAGGTTGATTGTTATAAATTAATTTTATTTTACGTTTATTTATTATGTTTAGAATTAATACAAAGTTAACATTACTCTCAATAATTAATATACATATAATACTTATATAATAAAATATTACATTAGCAATTTTATGACTTTCAATTATTTTAATTTGTGATATTTTTATAAAAATATTTAAAAAATAGATGATTTCCATAAACAATATATAATTCAATACTATTGTTATATTATGTTTATTATGATTTTTCAGTATGATAAATTTATTATTATTCACTTCGACAAAATTTATAGTTGAATTATATATTTTAAGTCTCGACTAATTTATGTCACATATTCATTTTTATTTCTAATACTCGCAATACAAAATGTACTCGTATTATTTATTCATGATATTAATGTTCAATCAACAATTCCTCTAGAAATCATTTTCTCCTGCGAACGTTTGAACATGGGATTTATCCTTTTTTTAACATATGCAAATAAATAAATTTAGTCTTAACCTTTCCCTTTTTGCAACAAACTTAATTATATCTCAGTTTATGATAACAACTTTATTCTTTGTAACTGCCCTTTTATCTAACTAACAAGCCAATCATATTTAAACTGCTTTCCTTGCATTAAAAAACAATATTTCTTTACATCTGTATTATAAAAAACTTAAATTCTACTATCAAAATCCAAGTCTTCTTCTACATCAACGTTGGTAAAGTGGTTTAATTTTTTTTTCTATATCATTATATAGTTATTTATTGTTCTAGAAATATATTTATATTTAATGAATCAAATTGCAATGAAAATAAATGATTATCTAACAAACTTTAAAATTTACATTTTTGACTCATATGTTTCATTAATAATTAAATAGTATGTTACCATTTTTATCTTTATAATTTTATGAATTGGAATAAATAGACTAACTAATGAATAATTTATTATTTATTATTTTCATTATTTAATCCAATCAATGTTTATTATTATAAATGTATAATTATGTGCTGTACAATCGATTATTACGAACACAATTTTACAATACGTAACTATTTATACTGCTACTACTACTACTACTACTACTATATAGTAAATTTTCGTGGGATACATTATTTAGTTACATATATGTATGTATATTACATTGACCCAAGTAATTTCCTCTTTTTATGTGCAGGTAGTTAATCTTAAGAAATGATCATTGTGCACATAAATATATATTAGATAATGTTATAAAAAGTAAGTCAAGTTGAAAATTAACCAATGTATTTTTTGAACTTCGTTAAATAAAAAGATAAACTTTATTAAAAAATTAAAACATTTTTATACATTCTCATCAGTAATAGCAATTCTATAAATTATATCAATTTGGATATTTTGTAAGCTCGGAGTTGTTTCCAAATTCAGGAAACTGAGCATTGAGTATTTAATCAACTCTTCCACCATTCGTCAAAGAAGTAGCTAACGTTCAAATAATCAGTACGTTTTAAACTATTAAAAATTTAAGTACAAGTGTTGAACTAAAGTATTTATATATACAACCATAGTAAATTTATTTATTTACTCCCACTGATTTTTTTTTTTTTTTTTTTGAAAAGTATAAAAACAATAATCATTAAATACAAAACCTCAAGTAAATACCCAAATTAATTCTTCTCGTTTCATTTACTTTATCAGCTATTATTAAACAAACTATTGTAATGTTACTATTATAATAATATTTCTCAAATAAACAAAATTACATGGAGAATCAGTTCATATAAAAGTTAAACTTAATTTTTTTACTTCTGTATAAAATTAACTTGAAGTTAACACGTATATACATAAAAAAGTAACGAATCATGAATTTAGTTAATATTAACTTAACGTTTTAACTTAATTTTAATTTTTAACTCGTTAGTGCCTAGCCTTTTATTTATGAACATTATTGAGAATCATAAATCGTAACAAAATATTACACTTTTCAGAATAATTGGAAAACGAATTTACCAATCGAATGAGAGCATGCAGAAAAATCATCAACAAAGTTGCCAGGTTGACAGTAGACAGACCACTGTTCACAATAGAGATTTAGATTTATTGCGAGACCAAGTAATAAATATCATGACTGAAACTTTATGGCAACGGTTATTAGACAAAATCAACATCAAAAGTGTAAGTCAAAAGCAATCTATATTAGAATCTCAACAACATTCTTCTGGTCGAATAGAGTCTGCATTAATTGTTTCATCAATATTGCCGGCTAACAAACCACCAATAATGTTTAAAGTCCGACCACATTTAGAAACCGTTAATCAAAGTGGATCTTTGTGCCGCGAACAAAGGTAATGATTGAAATTCATTATTAATCATTTTAATAAATATTCTAAAGTAATCAAATGATTCATTTATATCATTAATATTTTTTTTCACAAATTCTTAAAAAATGGTATTTGTATTACAAAAATAATAATTCCGTTTTGGTGCATTTTATCCTAAACTTATTAGTTATAAGTTTCACTATTTATTATTCTTATCGAAATCAACCTTTTAAATATAAAAAGTGTGTTAATCTTCTAATGCTTATGTTTATAAATGTATTACGGATATTTTACAATCATATGCATATAATCTATAGTACTTATAATATCTGCACTTGTATGGCTCCGATAAAATGCACTTTAATAAAAAAAAAACAAATCATTGTAAAATCAATACATTTTTCACGTTACTTGAAGTCTAAAAAAACTTATTTCCGAATGAAAAATGTAAAGTTATAAATCGTTTGTAAAAACGTTAGGTATATATTTTTTTAAGGATTTTATTTATGAACTGAGCTTGCACCCTACTAATTGTTATAACATAAGTTATACGTTTAAGACTTTATATATGTAGTTAATAATAACTTGAAAGCAAAATTGTTTTGAAAATCTTAATTTTTACGATTTTCAGTAATTCAAAGTATAATTTAAAACCATGGTCGAACAGCAACGTAAATATCTTACCACCTATAGGCACCCATCAAAAGGTAAGGAATATATATCGTAGTATAATCTAGAAATAACAATTTGCATATTCATCAAACATGAAAAATATATTAATTTTTTTCTCCTAGTGCTTCCATCATTTCATTCTGTTTTTATAATAATAATTAAATAGATATAAATAAATGAGTAAAGCAATACTCAAATAGCTTTCGAAAATATAAATAATGAAATTCAGGTATTATCATAAACAAAATCATTTATTTGTTCAAGTCTAAAAATAAAACTACTGTTATCCCGAAGGTTAAGAACCTCTTTAACATGCGTGATGTGCTGCAAGCAGTTTTTGACATAACCAAATCTACGAATATACACAAAGCGGTTTTAGTTAATACGGTCAAACAGATCTATTGTAACTGAATTACTAGGTCCAGCCTTGAAATAAACCATTGGTACCATCTGATACAACTGAATAATATTGTTAACATTATTAAATTAATCACCCAAAAACGTTTCACGTGAATCGAGTGTTTACTATACTGTTATAAATAATATATATATATTTCTATGAGATAATGTAGTTGTTCAAAATCAGTAGATAGGTATAATATTACATCCCGAGACGAGATAAAATCGAATTACGAATATAGCCATGAAAGCAAGAAAAATTACCCAAAGATATAAATTTTTTATGTAAATCGTAAAGTAGCATTCGATGGGTATAGGTAATACTTTTTCGAAATTGCATCATGAATATGTACCATCATGCATCTAAACAGAAAATCATAAAATATCAATAAAACTGTTGTTGAGACAATAGATTGGTACTGTTGCTTAAGAACGCACGCTCACTTAAATTCTTATTGTTCTGTCACTATTATCGTATACCGATATTTCACACGTTTGTATTAATAATTATTACCGTAACAAGATTATTATTATTTCATCGAAAGCATACCGAATCGTCATATATTTGATCGAATTGCTTAAAAATTATTACTTATGAAGTATTTCAAACTGTATTATCATTGTAGCACCTATTATAGCACATGAATAAAAACGATTCTCATCATTCCTCAATCACAAAATGTATTGAACCTGAAAGGCATATTGTATGTAAGATTACAATTTTTTTCTCGCTATTCATATATTGGAAATCGCTGGATGCAGTATTGGTCAATCGTGTTTTAATTATAAATCTAAGTATATCATATGTAACGACATTTTATGCATATAAAATATAAATACCTGCCTACTTTCATTTATAACAGTAACACAAACCCTACCTAGCCATATAAAAGTTACACTCACTATTTTGAGGAATTTTAAACTCTAAAATAATTTAATTTAAAACATACAATCTTTTACATATCTTAAAAATAATATCATTAATTATAATTAAATAACGAAATTATTTTCAGTTCAATTTCGTAGACCGTAATAGAGTGATACTCGAATACATTATAATACAATTAAATAAAAATCAAATATGATAAATAATTAACTTTTAAACATTTTACTGTATGAAAAAATAACACACATAAAAAATAAACGAATAATTATAATTATTATAAAATAAAAAATACTACATTTTATCAATTTGTTTTGTATGTCAGCTAATAATTAATGCTTTCACATATTTATGAAAACATTGTATCGGATACTGTTTAAAAAAAGTATCTTTATGTATATATCTATTTATATATATGTATATATTTATGTCTTGTGAGTTGTGACTACGATAATTATCAAGACCAGCTTTCAACCTTGCACTGTTACTGTTCTACGTGTACTTTCCAATACAATAAATACTAAAATAATGTAATAGAATAATTGTACGTCATTCATTTCGATATAACACTATATATTTTGTACTCATCAATTAATACATTTCACATTTATAGTGATTAATATATTATAAATGTTTATTGATATTCTATTAGTTCGGATAACTTGAAGAAAAATATATCATGTTTAGGATGTGATCCTACCGATCACACATCAAACCGCAGTGCAACAGAATTAAAACATTCAAAATATGTTATACGCATAGAATGCAATCGTTATAGGGACGTTAATTATTGCAAACAATTTCAAGAATAGGGCTATGCGTGCGAAATAAGTTAAGTACCGCGGTTACCGGGTTATGTCCACGTATGTAGTGCACTCGTGGGCGCAAATATTGGGGGTACCGAAATTACTGAAAATAAAATTGATGGTATTTCAATGTTATCATTATAGATTGACTTAAAAAAATAAAATGAGTACATTATTGTTCGCAGAAAGCGGAAAACAGAACAAAACGTTGGTTTTCAGCCGTCAGCACGCCCGGTAAGAACCACGCGTTGCCAAGACCAGTGACTTCGATAACCACTCACGTGAATAACACAGCGGTAAAGTCGCATACAATCCGCGGAAACATCCGTGTTATTATTATTATTTTTATTATTGTTTTATACTTTATAAACTAAAGCGTGACATCGTATTTACATCTGTATGTGCACATATATTATGTGGATATACGTCCGTGGCATACGAGTGATCACTGGCGTTTGGTGGGATATTCATAAACGCATCAAAACGTTTGAATATCATATCTTCCCGTCCCTTTGGTCTATTTCTAGGGATCTATGATCTATACATCGCCTTTCTGTAGATATTCCGTAGTGCTGTCAAGTTCTGTAGAAGTTGTTCAAGGATAACATTTTAATAACCATTTATCTAATGGCATTAAATCGCATAATCTTTACAAAAAAATTTACAAAAATACAATACACAAATTTATTTGTTCGCTAGTGTAAAAAAAATCTACAACTACAAGCCGTATATATTTGCTGTAAGCTTGTGGGTAGTATAATTTATAGACGACTGCGGATTTCGTACGCAGATTGATAGTACATTTTTTTCCAATACTGCCATTAATAAAAATATTTTAAATACATACCCGCTGAATGAACGGCAAAATTAACAAAATCATGCTTACATTTTAGATACCACGACGTCTATATGTGATGCGCACAATATGATATAATGGATCGCTTAACGCGCAGTGAACGATTTTCTTTTTCTTTTTGCTAGGTAAACGTGTGTTTCGACATATCGATCGACGGCAAAAGCATCAAAAGCATAAAGAAAAAAGAGTACTGTTCACCGTCGTAGTACTACGTCGTATACTCGAGCAAGCGGTCGCGAGTGTAGTAGCAGCGGCAGTAATACAGTAGTATTTCCGATGTGTGTTTCTTCTTGGGTATGGGGAAGGAGGAAATAAAAAGTTATTTATCAAAAATAAAATTCTTAATTATATACTATACCGCACTCGGTGCATTCACGCGTATTATACCACCGATACCCAATAACAATCTTTCGGCTCGTCTGTACCACTATAATACATAATATACGTAATTTTTACTGATGAGGTCGACCGTGGTTTTAAGTACCTATTTAATTTTTCTACTAAGAAATGAAGGCAGCAGCCGCCGCTACCATTGCTATATTCTGCGGTTTATATTTTTACTTCTGTCCCTCCCCCGCTGTCGCCACCACCACTAACACCATCTCCGTCGAACGGCCAACGCGCGATTATGAACGATACATTTTTTATTTTTATTTATACATTTTTACACACATACGCTGTGTACGCACACATGCGCGCGCGCTCGCACGCGCGCTCCCGGTATAAGGTCAGCACAACCGAAGGTGAGTCGGTTTTGGCAGACGAATTTCATCGCATTGTATACATATACATATACTTACCGTACATGCGCGTAAGATAATTATATTATATTTTTCGTCCGTACGCTAGTCCATGTCGTTTTTTAGGCATCAGTTGTTCGAAAGACGTGACGACGCGCAAATCCCTTACGCACACGCTTCGCGGCTTCACGTATATCTTTCGATTGAACAAGTTCAACGGTGACGTAGCGATCGCAGTGTTTTCGTGCGTCGTTTTCGCGTTTCCGCGACCTCTTCGTCGCCCGCAAAACCCGGCGACAGATGTGACCAAATCGGTACCCCCACAAGTATAATAATCGCACGCGATATTCGTTGTGGCGTATCCTCCGTCCTGGAATTCCGGAGGGGGGAAGTCTCCCATCGCCAGGGATAACGTAGGTCCAGTAAGAGAACCAGACCATTTGACTCAAAGTCCGGTCCTCCGTTGTTGCTGCTGCTGCTACTACTGCTATTGCGACGTGTACATACATGCGACGGCCAAGGGATGTATTTTTCAAGGCCGTCCGATAATATGAACGGATACAGGTACTCGAAAACAGCGTCGGTCCTTGGCAAGCTCGTCCACGTGATAAGGATTTTCGGTGTGTTTACGGCCATCGGTAAGGCGTTTGATTTTGATTTTTTTTTGCCATCCATTTCATGAGCACATTCAGTACTCACGTTATCATCGTAGGTGTTATACACATATACGTATAAATAAATATATATAGTTTCTTACACGTGTACTGGCCCATTAAATATATATATGTTCTTCTCCATACACCTATGTATGTTATACGTCCAGGACGTTCAATTAAAAGACACGTTTATACGGCGAATTCGAGTTGATTTTCTTTCAGTAAAATCGAACAACTCATACTTATTTCGACTGAACTGAAAATGTATTCTCAAAATACCAATAGAAATAATATTTATATATAGTCCACGGGAATAAAAGCGTAAAATTCAATTAAGTTTTTGTCCTCCTATCGCACAATTAAGATGGAAAAAAAGTGACTTTTAATCGAACACCCACGAATCCTGAAAACTATACCATTATTTCCTTTAGACCGAACTAGTTGGGTAAAAACTAAGTAACTAAGGTAACTAAGTAGGGATATATACTCCGGTACTACACATTGTACGTACGAGTATACTTATTCACTATACATTGTATTATTTTTCAGTCATGTTCGGAGTAGGTGTCGACATAGCGATACACCACTACACTTTTGGATTTTACATTATGTAAGTATACATACACAATATACACACATACATATCACACGTATCGTACATACACATTGGCATTTTAATACATATTACTACTTAATTAAGTACATATCATCGTGGCATTCGTCTGTCGTGTGTTGATCAATAATTATAAATAATAAATAATACCTATGATCATAGTTTATATTTATATATATATATATACGATTGTCAAACAGGCAAATATTAAAACATTTGTGTGGTTGACTAATGGGACTGTCATAATAACGAAAAAAATTATCAATACACGCAGAAGGTCATTTTGTAATAAACTTCTGAGTATTAACAGTTTTGTTGTTTTTTCGCAATGAAAATAGCTACCTACTACTGCAGTCTCTATTTTCTCATATATACCTACTGATAACGTAGACTTAATTTATAAGTTTTTAATGTGAAACATCTATTTTTTTTAAATATCAGCTAAAACTGTTATATGTATTTAGACTTAAGCATTATTTTATAGCTATAGCATTATAGTATTACATATAATAACTAAAATTATTTATTTCTCAAATTTTACTACGAAGAAAAATATGTATTTAGTTTACCTTTATATTGTTGTGATATACGATGTATACCAAATATCTCATAAATCATAATAAAATGTACTTACTATAGTTTTTTTCCTAAACTATAATTAGATTCATATATTCACGACGTTCTATAACCGTACAGATCACGTATTAACTATTATTATAGTCTCTTTGCAACACATATTATATTAATTTAATATTTTTTACACGTATTCCGAATTATTTCAATTTAATTACAACTTTTTTAGTCAAATCAATTAAACGCATACCAATCTGTTAAGTTGCCCTACTGTCGATTGCTAGAACAAGCACACAAACAAATAACATTTACTATTCAAAGCGTATTACGGTGGAATTAATTTTATTATTGAAATATTTAGTAATCGGATTATTGTAGTCCAATCTCAGTTTAAAATTATACCATTGAATTATACGTCCATCATCGAACTGTAGAGAGTTTATATTGTAAGAATCATTCGCATGATTTAGTAAAAACATATGGTACTTAAATTAAATATTCATTTTTTTTATAAGTTATAGGTTAGGTATTTATAAAAAGTATTAGTTACGAAACAGTGTTGGTCTGACCATGATCACCAAGCTTCGAATGCATCCGGGGCCTCCGGCCGAATTCGTGTTGAAGGGCCCCTATTTCTAAAGATTTATAAATTACCATAATAATCATTGCAATTAATATTTTATATGATTAAATTGTTATAGTTTTAATTACTGGCAGCCCCTTTATGGACTAAAAATATTACTGTTATAAAAAAAAATGAATTGTACAATTTTTATATCATTAAAAATATATTAAATTATATATTATAAGGTATTATTTGTACTATGTATAATAAACATAAATATTAAATAAATTTTATAGTATTGTAATATTATATATAATAATGCTAACTATGTAGTTAACTTAATTATTTATGTATTTTTAAATAAGGTACCATTCAAAAATTAAAATATTTTACACTATTTTAAGACACCTTCTATGATTTTACAAAACTACATTTTTGAGGGACCTTCTGAAGAAATGCATCTGGGTCCCAGGTCCAGGGTCCCAGGATACTTTAAGGGTTAAGTACCAGGCTGAACTGGTGAAAAATATCGAATTTCATTGATTATAAGTATATGTGGTTTAAGAAATTTATGCCGTTTTAACCGATTTGTTCGCTTGATATTATTCCCCGAGGGACTAACAAAAATTATTATTTATTATTATTTAACATTTATCTGAGTTATAGACAAATATCTCACATACCTACACCTATTTAGATATGTTTATTAAGTTTTTAGAGGTAGCTCGGGTTTCCAGCTGACAATCCTTATATTACAGGGTTTCATCGCGTTCTGTAATATATATATACGTGTATCGGTGCAAGGTCATTAATTCTATTTAACGACAGTAATAGAACGGGATTTACTGGGGTATTACGGAAAAAATTGGGTCAAAATTGTGAAGATGATATACAGTTATTGCGTTTTAAAACTAAAAAAAGAGTGCTGGAGGAAAATATTTTCCAAAAAAATGTTTACAAATATATACAGTTAGATAATTCAAATCTGCCAAACGCTAAAATATATTAATCAAGCTGGTACCAATCTATAAATATTTATAAATTGCAAAAAATGTTTAAAAATATGTATAGTTAGATAATTCAAATCTGCCGAATGTTTAAATATAATAATCAAGTTGGTACCAATCTATAAATAGTTATGAATTGCAAAAAAAAAAAAATAAAAAAAAATAGAAAATAATCGTGATAGAAGTCAATAGCCGAATAAAATATTCTACAATATTTAAGCCAACATTACATTTTAATTTGTAGGGAATCTATTTTATTTTATTTGTTTTCTATAAGTTTTCATATTTTTTCTAAAAAACAAAATTGGTATAAATACGTATTGAATTTGTATTTATCGAATTACAACTAAGCAATATTAGTTTTATTCATTTTTAATCTTTAAACGATTCAACATACCCTGGAATGGTAGTATTTTTCATTTAAATTTAGTTGAAACGCGTTTGTTTTAAATGACCAAAATCGAGTTGTAGCGTGTATAAAATTTTGATTGTAGATGAATCATTCATCCCTTTTGCTAAAAAAAAAACTTGCCAAAGTATGTTAACATTTTAGTTTCACGTACCAATATGAAATTTATTGTTGTGTGGGTTTCTTCTATACAGATACTTATCGATAGCTAACTAATTCCAACATCGTTTGCTCATGGTTTTCGTTATCTATGGATTTTGTTATTCATAATTTTTATATCAAAATATTTTCAGAGAATAATTTTTCCTGTTATAAATATATAAATGTTAATTTATATTTATTTTATTTATTTTTGTTACATTTCAAATTGCTTTTAATGAATTTCATATATGCAAGGTATGTTTATATTTAGAAAAAAATCTATATTTTTGAATTTTTACTGCAAAATGAGGTTTTTTTACGTTTCTCAAGTGATAATATTTATATTCAGGTCATAGATGGGTACATTAAAACTTACGTTGAAGTATCAAAAGAAAACTTGTGGTTTTTATTAAACTTAACATAAAATATAATATTATCTTTAATACGTGACCATAAATAATATATATATATAAGTACATACAATATCCTAGATAAGAATTTGTTCAAGTAATGAAATTCGTGGAAACTATTCCTTTAAACTATTTAAGGTATAATTATAAGTTAAATCGGCTAGGACAAACAAAAATATTATTGTATACAATTTAACACTGGATTTTACACATTCAGCCTTTGCCACTGCTCCCCGTAATGTCGTATTTACTTCCCAAAACAATTCAGTAGTAGCACCAAATCCAGCGAGCGTTTACACTGCACAGCTAATTTTTTAGCAACCTAACCGGCAGTGCGAACGCGATTACATGTATATATTCTGCTCAATAAATTACCGCCAAAATTGTGTTTTGTGTACTACGTATTTAAGAATTTTTTTTTTCTTACTCTTGCATGTGTTTATCCTAATTTACTTTCAACGTTCAAGCTGATTGAAGCCACAAATCAACAATACAATTTTTAGAACTTTATGAAATCGAAAGTGTTTTATATATATAAAGTAACGTATTTTCAAATTTTTTGTGTGGAGGTTTAAGTTTTTCTAAAACATGAGCAATTTTATAATATAATAAAAAGTTCAAATATGATAGAAACTAATAATTATATTATTATTATAAAAACAAATTAAGAGTAATTTATAACTAATATAAATTAATTTTCCCTTTCTCTGTATCATTTTTGTATAGTTATTTATGAATTTTAAAACTTTTCTTCTGGGGGGAGGTGAGACTCAAGACCTCCCCCAAATCAATACGCCACTGAATATAAACAAATTTTTTTATTAAAATTAAAATCATGAAGTTTACTAATTCTCACTGATAAAACTCGTTTGGAGGTCCAGAGAATACATATATATATATATATATATATATGAAATCAGCAGACAAAGTTCAGAAGCTGCAATCATTTCAGTATTCTCCAATGAGCCAGGTCAAATACGAACTTGAACTAGTCAAACAAAGTACCTACGCACAAAAGTTAAAAAAGAAAAAGGCAAAAATTACGCGCGCACAACGTACTTCTTCGCACACTTGTGTAGTAATCGCTTTAGAACAGAATGTAGACACGTACTCACGAGCGCGTTGTCGGTTATATTGCTGCATACGCTGCTCAATTTACCACTGTTGACAGGAATGTCGGACAGCGACAATGCGAAAAGCACGATTGCAAGAGTGACATGTTTACATACTTGCGCTGCCGAATTTCATACTCATTTCCCTGTTCACTGCCACGGAAGTGGACTACATGTAAACGAGATACAAGAGTATCTTATAATTTCTTCAGCATTAAAATTGAATAATCCAAAGCCTCGCAATTTTATCACTATGGAGAGTCTAAAAACAATTTTTTTAAGCCAACTAGAACCACCTTAAGACAATTGCAAATTAACGTTGAAACAATCGAAGTAATAATTATAATTATAATTCAATAAATCATTTTTTCTCTTTGCAGGCTGATGTCATTATTTGTGTTCTTTTTGGAAATTACTTGGGCCATCACATTGTTCCTAAACGTTTGCATAAAGTAAGTACAGAAAACCTGTAATATTATAAAACGTAAGAAATACTATATCTTTATTACCTTAGTAAATACTTATACTATAAGAATAACGACAGAATACATCACAAATCGAATTAAATTAGTAAACCAAAAAATAATCTAAACTATTTTTTATTATTATCGTATAACAAAAGATAATTTGAAGTTTAGATAGTTATAAGCTATACTAGTGGACACCGTCTTTCGAAAACCTATAACACTGACACATTCTATTTAAATTAGAAAAATTAAATTTTTCTTTTCCAATTTCTTTCAACACATATGTACATTTATGCAAAATTTTCAGTAAAAATATGCTTTTAATATGTGTCTAAAACTACTATGAAAACCTGCACGTGATAAAACATGGGCCTTGCGAATATTTTATGATAAATAAAATAATTATAACATGAAAGTAAAGTGATACTTGAGTATCTAATATCTGAAAATATATCACTCAAATTTAAACTACGTCCAAATGTCACATGGTAATCCTATTTTACACTTATATCGGATGAAGATTCAGCATCTGCAACGCAAGTAAATAATAAACGTAAACGACGTATATAGTGAACAGGCGGTTTAATATGAGGATAGTCAAGGGGGTCTAAAAGTCTTGCTTGCCCGAGATATTATCCTGAGCAAAATCGTAGTAGACATAAAACTCTAACTACACTTGATGTTTTCCTGTCAGGTCATTTATCTTACATAATAAAACCTTCTTATAATAATTCGATGACTAAAAAAAATAATATTTGTGTTGCCATAATAAAACCTTATAATAATTCGGTGATTAAAAAAAATAATATTTGTGTTGCCAAAAATTCCACCTAAAAAGAATTTGCGTTTACGTTTAAGACACAAACAATATAAAAAGAGAGTATTAATAAATAAATAGTAAATAACGTTAGGACCTCGCCGAGTAATAAATGTAAAAAAAATCTTAAATAGTGAAAATAAATGAGAAAATATATTTAACAACAATTATAATTATTATTATAGTGTACATTATAATTCCAAGGAAAACTAAGTAGTCCTTTTGCTGTAGAAAACTGTATCTGTTATCAATGGGAATAAAGAAAATAAGTATCAAAACCACTCCACGAATAACTAAAAAAACCATTTTTCCCTCTGTCAATGTTCAAAATATACCACTTTTTCTTTTCAAATCAAATTTCCTAAACGACAAAACAAGAATTAACAATGCTGAGTCATTCTTAAACCAAACACGATGTCCATAAATTTAAAAAAAATACCTAAATAATTTTAATATTATATCGAGGTAAAAAAAAAGCAGTACATAGTACAACAAATTATTTTAAGATAGTAAGTAGTATAAAGTAAGGATGAGCAAAAAATATCGATGTTTTAACTCGATATATCGATGTTTTGTTTTCGATTAACCGATTAAACATCGATGTTTATGTTCAAAATGCAGTATATAACAATCGTTATACAGTTATATAACACTATATATACACTTATATATAGATATAATCAGGGCTCTCAAATCCATGCACTAAAAAACGCATAAATAAGTATTCACTAACACATGTAACACATCCTAACATATCGATATTTTAAAAATAGATATATCGATACACCAAAAATCGATGTTCAAATATTTTTCCCATCCTTAGTATAAAGTACTGATGAATGTATAATTTTCAGAACAAATTTTCCTTCTTTTAATGATTATTCCATCCTTTTTCAAAAGTCAAAATGTCAAAGTAAATAAAATACTATTATTATTATATGTCAAATGTTTTTTACATAATAATTCATGTCAGATGATACACTGAACGATATGATTTCATAATGTCTACACATTATCTAACAAAAATGAAAAATTGGTGTCTTTAGTCATTCCAACGTGTTTTTTTTACCGATAATACAGTAATGTACGTATGAACACAAACATATCAAACGAAATTTATAAACCTTCGATAAATAAGCTTAGATAAATAATTATTTAATTGATTTTAGCAGATCAGGTAATTTAAACATATTTCGATCGAACTCATACTAATTTATTATTATTATTATTATTTGCAGTAACCAAATATATTATATACAGTAGCTGCCGCTTGTTGGACTCACTTTGGGACCCGACAATTTGAGTCGATTAACCGAATGAGTCAATAAGGCGAATGACTCAAAAAATTTTAAAAATCCTTAAATTTAAAACCGTATTTACTTAAAAATATGTATTGAGATTCAATATGTATGTATAAAAAATAAAAATCTATACGCAATTAAAAATAAAATATGTACCTAATTAATAAAATTAATTAATTTTTTTGATAAAGTGTATTGATGTAGTGTTAGAGGGTAAGAATACGAGGTTAATATGTTTAAATTTCACTGTAACCACATGAGCCGTGCAGTTATCGACTAGCAATAAAACGTCATGATGAAGTTCATTGTCCCACTTGATCAGCCATTCGGTGAAAATTTCTTTTATCATCCATGCATTACTGTTTGCAGTCTACCGATGGATTCTTAACACCCTTGAAACACCAAGGATTTTTACTTTTACCAATCACAAGCAGTTTTCTTTTTTCACCATCCATACTCGCACAACATAATATGGTTAGACGTTCTTTACTAGTTTTAGTTCCTCTAGTTTTTTCATTTTTGAACACGTAAGTGTGCTCAGGTAATGCCCTGAAATAAAGTCCAGTTTCATCCGCATTGAACACACAAGACGGGGATATTTGGCGATAAGTGATGGCCATTCTGAATGAATCCACAACCGTGCAGCTACATGGTTGGCTTCTCCCTGTTCTCCATGTGGCTTAACGAATGAAATGTTTTCGCGTTTCTTCCATCGGTGAAACCAACCTTCTGTTGCCACAAAATTATCTTTGCCTATTTTTTTCGCAAGATCTTCAGCTTTTTGGCGCAAAAGTGGTCCTGTTACTCGGACATCTTTTTGTCTGACTTTTGTGAACCATTGCTTTAAAGCTACTTCAACTTCTTCTTTACTGACCCTTTTTCTTTCACGGTTTGAATTCACATTTTCTAATGATGCGTTTTCGATTTCCTGTCGACTTTTCAGCATCCTACCTAGTAAACTTTGAGACACGTTCAACTTACATGCTGCTTGTCGCTGGCTCGTTTTCGGAAGCTCGTCATATTTTTTAAGAACATCTAATTTTTCTTCCACACTCAAATCACGTCGTTTGTTCATTGTAACACGATAAATAAAAATGTTTACACAGAATGTAAACGCAGACAACACACTGAACACGACGACGTGTATTCATACACTACCTGCCGTACTAATTGACATTGACGACTGCTTGGTTTATCGTGAAAAGTAATTAAATTTTATCTCCGCGATAAAAGCAAAATATGTACCGGTACCGACTTATTTATAACACGTTTTTTCAATGTATGTACATATTTTCCTTGTTTATCTGATTTTAAAATGACCCTAATAACCGGTGTGTGAGTCGAATAGACGAATTTTTTGCTGTGTGTTAGTATATGTGCAAATTGGGACCAGTCGTTTTGAGTCTAATAGACGAATGAGTCAATTAACCGTGAGTCCAATAAGCGGCGGCTACTGTATATATATATTTTTTTTATTAAATAAACCCTCGGCAACAAAAGCCATTGGGAAAAATACAAATATAAATAATATCTTAATGTACAATGGAGAATTACAACTTATTTATTAATTTTGATGTTTTAATGATGAGTCTGATGAGTCTTTGGTGTTGTTAAGTAAGATGGAGATATGTTCTGGAAGGTCGACCCTTTCTCTGAATTCTTCGTAGATGCGGCATTACGTTAAAATGTGCTTGATGCTCAGTTGGACTTCACATAATGAACAAATGGGCGGATCTTCTTTATTCATTAGGTAACTGTGAGAAAATTGTGAGTGACCAATGCGAAGCCTGTTTATTGCTACCTCGATTTTTTTGGAATATCCAATGGATGAGGCCAAGGTGAAACATTTTGTTTGACTTCATGAAGTTTAGTGGTTTGGAGACTCCACAATGAAAGCCAAGAGTGAAGACATTTGGATTTGATCAGAAGTCGAACATCGTTTTTGGCCATTACTGGAGCGTGTGCAGTGAGTAGGAGAGTCAACGTTTTCTTTGCTTCGCGGTTAGGTAATTCGTTTCCTTCGATGCCACAGTACCCAGGAATCCAGAAGATTTGTATTTTGGATCCCTTGGAGTGGTTTTCGTAGAAAACGTTTAGCACTTGTCTGATTATGTCTGTAGGATCATGTAAATTTCTTATGTTATTTAATGGCACTGAGTGAGTCTAAGTAAATGGTGGTATTTGGTATATTATGTTCATGAATTAAGTGTATTTCTTTTAAGATTGCGTAGGATTCAGCGGTGTATATTGAACATGAACTGGGGAGTTTGTACATATGCACTATGTTTTTCCAGATTACTGCAGCTCCAACCCCGTGAAGGCTCTTAAAAGCGTCTGTGTACATTTTTTCATCAATATTATCATGATTTGAGGCGAGGAAATTTTGTTTAAATTTAGAGGGGAGAGTATACATTTTTGAAGATGTTGAAATTCAGTACCTATTTAAATTTAAGAAAGGAACCCAAGGAGGAAAAATAGAGGGTATATTAGGAGTTAGATCAGAGAGGACGAGGTTGTTATCATGGAGCAGAGGCAAGAGATTTGAGAAATTTGGAGTAAAATCAAGCTCAGCTATTGAGGTGGCTAGCTTCAGCTCTTGGTTAAGAGTTAGTTGTAATCTTCTTATTTTAAGGGGAGGCACGTTTGTTAATCGGGTTATCGGGTTTGATCTATATGCTCCAATTGGAAGATGTAATCCAGAATTGTGCAAAGAGTCAAGTTTTTTGAAGATATTATTAAGTTCCCCCATATACAAGCTCCATAGTCCAGCTTCGAAAGAGAGAGAGAATTTTAATAATGTTAAGTCTTGGCGAGATTGATCTTGTTAGTTGGTTTACGTGATGAGTCCAAGAAAGTTTTTTGTCAAAGACGAGTATAAGAATTTTTACTGTGGAACTGTCTTTGATAAGATGTTCTTCCATTTTTAAAAATAGGGATGCACGCTGGTGTTTGCGCGTGAAGATGATACATTGAGATTTTTCAGCTGAGAATTTAAATCCGGAGGTCTTTGTCCATTCGATTAGGTTATTAATTGAGTCTTGGAGGAGAGATTGATCCGTTTTTATTTTATTACTGCTGCAAAAAAGTATTAGTCATCCGCGTATAAGGTAGATTTTATCGGCAAATCTAAATTATAAGTAATATCGTTGATAGTAATAATAAAAAAAGTTGAGACAGAGTTGAGCATTGAGGTTAGGTTAGGGTTAGCAGGTCAGGTAATTTAAACATATTTCGATCAAACTCATGCTTCTTTATTATTATTATTATTATTATTATTATTATTTGCAGTAACCAAATATATTATATAATTTACAATATATAATCAAATCTTACAATTACCTCAAACGAACTATATATTTTCATAGTGAAGGTAAATCTAGAATTCTACTAAAAATCAAAATGTAATTAAATCCTTGTAATTTGGAGCACACACATAAATAAAAAAAATGTTACCTCAAAACTCTTAAGAAAAATAAATAAAACATAATAATACAATAAATATAGGTAGATTAATATATATTTAAAACACTATTTAGAATATTTATATCCGATTATATAATTTACTTAATTTCTTTGAATCCAAAAGTTTTTAGAATATAATCATTATCCATTGTATTTGACAATAATATCAAATGGTACTTAAAATAGCTTAATGTATTTAGACATAAAATAAATAAATAAATAGTTAAAACTAGATGGATGAGCTTGTACTATGATGTAACTTACAAGATTATTTAGAGTTAAGAATTTGGGGAAAGGGGAATTTAAAAAAAGGTATTAAAAAGGACTCAATATACCTTATAGATGCATCAATGCCAGATTTCTAAGAACAATAGAATGCAATCAAAAATGTACAATTTGCAGAAAAAAAATTTCCAAAGCCTAAAACATTATTACATAATATAATTTTTTTGATAAATTTTGCAATAATGCTGTGAATTTATTAAACAGAAACGAATTCAATCCAATATTCAGTTGTTGGGAAATTGTGTTGTGGTTACGTCTTTGGAAGAAATCGATGCTGTATACAATTTTCTCGTTAGTATTCTTTTTATGGCCACATGGATTGTGGCTTTCTAACATAGCAGGTTTGTTGTGTAGATGTGATATATATTTTAATATTAAATTGTATTACAATTAGAATAAAATCTAATAAACCTCTATTCGTTTATGCACAGGTATTCTGCTCTTGTGGTTATCATTTTTATATATAGTCGTCACATTCAAAGACTTGGTACAAAAGCGTTCAGACTTTGTTATTGTACCCAAAGGACAAGCAACTACTTCATATGATCAGTAAGAAATATTTATAATAGTAAAGTACATTCTATTTTTTTTTTTCACTAGCAAATTTAAAAAAAAAAAATATGACTACTTAGGTCTTATAATTCTTTATATATATAAAATTTCTAGATATGATGACATATCCGATCTTCTTGGAGATTCTGTTCAAATATCGTTATCAGCTGACAACCTATCAGAATTGGATCAAGATGGAATTTTAGAATTATAATAATTGTTATGTACAAATATGTATGTGTTATTTTTAGTAATAAATTTTGTAAATACATATTATTAAACAAATAAATTAAAATTTGTTTGTCAACTAAATTAAATTAATTTAATATTTAGTCATTCTTAACTACTCTAAAGTGTTTAACTCCAAATAACTTGAATGATGTAACAGCATAAATAAAACAAAAATAAATTCAATAGGTTACAAAATATGAATATTCAAATGTACATTAATAATTGAATGAGCAAAAAAAAAATTCTTAAGAATTACAAAATAAGACAGAGGCATTGTGTAATATTTTTAAATTAACTTATGAGACGAACCACAGATCATTATTCAATAAATTGTATTCATAGATTGTCAACAAAAATCATTTTTAACATATAATCATAAGTTGATGTGTAGTTCTAAGATAAATAGAATAAAGATTAAAAAGTAATTTAATTGAAATTATGAATATCATTCTAAAATATTAAAATAATTACATAAGATAGAACATTGATATTAATGTAAAATATATACAACTAAAAGAAATTATATTTATATTTACTAGTAAACTGAATGCTAATCAGAGTATTAGCTAAAAATGTTTAAAACAAGCAAAGATAAAAAAAAACATAATGTAGGTTTTATACATTGACAATAGTAATACTTAAATAATAACATTAATATTTTTCTCGGGTCCATTAAACTCTTAATCACATAAAATTGTCATCTAACAATTATGTAATCACGTGTAATACTAATTGTAAAACAGAAAATATTCAGATTGGTCTACACTAATTTAATTTACATTGAAATAAATACTAAACATTGGATATTCAATGATACCTTTAAATATAAAATAACAGATTTTTTTTGTGACCACAAAAAGAAGCTAATTTATTTTAGTATTTAAGTAAATAGTTATTAAAATATTAATACCAAATAAATAAATTTATATAATTAACTATTAACCTTTAATTTCTTTTTCTTAAAAAAATTTTTCTTTGTCAAGGTACGTTTCAAGGTAACATCTTGAATATTAACATCAATATTTATGGATTCATTGGGAGAAATTGTGGAATTATTTTGATTTTTAGTTTTTAAACGTTTTTTTTTTGATCGTAACCGTTTTAATCTTTTTGTTCTTTTAGATGATCTACCAGATTCATCAGTTTTTGGACTTAAATTACTTATCTTTATAACATTGGGAGTAGATAATAATGAAGAATTTTCGGATTGCCTTGAAGTAGATTGCCTTGCATCAACAATTGATTTAGAAGTAGATTGAGTGAATTCATCACTTTCAAATTCCGGTTCAGTAGAAATCTTAAACATTATCAAAAAACAATTTATTATTAGCTAGTATAATTTAAAAGTTATTCAGTTTTTATTTGTTACGCTGTAAAGTAAAACTTACAGTATTATGAAATTGACGCCAGGATTCTGTACAATAGTTTGATTCATGACCAAGTGTATTGCACACATTACATTTTACTTGGCTCATTGATAAACAAGTACTACAACTTTCAATGAATTTTTTTTGCCAAGTTCCACACTAAAAATATAATACAATTTTATTAATATTTAAATTTTATTTATGTAGGTATTAGCTAGTATGTCACACTATTCTTAAATTATATAATATATTTTAACGATATAAATATTAAGAGTAAAAATGTTAAATGTATTATTTTTATTTTGAATGTGATTTATATTAATAAGGTTTTCATAAAACATACCGAAAAACATATTTTTTTATTGCAACTATGAATATTATGTCCTTCAGCTCCACACATTATACAAATGTCAGGTTTATATTGTTCTTCGCAATTATACGCAGTATGACCGTATTGTCTACATGAATAACATCTAACTTTATTAGTATATGAATTAGATTTATACAAATCCATGGGATTTAAAATCCAGTCAACAGGACTTGAACCGTATGTATCTAAATTAATAAAAATAAACATTAAAATTGAAACAGACTAAATTACTTAAGAATAATAAATTGATATTCACCCCTAATTTTTTTTAATTCTTCGCTACAATCAAAATTACGTTTTGACTTTTGAATTCTAGTATAAAATTTAATCATATCAGGTGTCCATGTTTTAGGACATCTGTACCATAAACTACTTTTAGTTGGTTTTCCTATACGATACTGTTTCAAAACTTCATCAGGAGGTAATGGCATTGCTGTTTCGTGAGGAAATGCTACATTCAAAGAAACATTATCAGCTTTTTTACTTCTTGAGTTCATCTTATTGAACCCACTTTTTTCTTTGTACTCTTTTAAAGCATTAGTTGTCTTAACAATGTTAATATATTCTTCAATGCTTTCATTACTTAGATTTTTCTTTTTTTTCTTCCTTTTTTTTTTCAAACTTGTTTCAGCATACTCATTATCAATAACTCTAGGGGTATCATTTGAAATCTCTAATGCGTCATCACTATCGTCCAAAGTTATAGTTGGTATAATTCTATTATTACATACCTCAGGCAGTTCAATTGGACAATTGATTGCTTTATCAGCTGGATCTTTCAAAAATACAATTGCTTCACCGTTAGAATTAAATTCTACACCATATCTTGGATCTATACATGGCAATTCAGATGTACCTGAAAAATCATTGTGATGGGTTAAACTGTAAATACGAGACTCAAGTTCCGACTGCGTTTCTGATAATTCGCTTGAGCAATCACTAGACATATCAAAAAAATCTGTTTCCATTTTCCATTGTTTTTTCTACACTAAATGAAAGTAATTGATCTTAATAAAAACATCAAAAGATACTAAACGATATCGAAAACTGAACGTGAAACCATATCTGACTGTACAAAATCTGCGTCTATTTTACGGTTCAAAACGAATCGTAAAAGTTAATTATTTTCACACATTATGAATGAAAATTAAAAAAATAAACACAATCACATCGGAACCGTAAACTAGACTGCAACATCGCAAATGACGATGTTGTGATTTCAATGTTTTTGTCTTGATAAAGAATTACCTCCGCTCAACCATCATCTACAACTTTCCTAATCCAAAGTAATACGAGGTTATGTTATTCAGGTTAGCCACATTACAGAATATGACAAGCGATTCTTCACAGGAAAATTTTTTTGTGATTCATTTCCTTATCATATTCAAATCAGCGATCCTGATAATGACCACGTTCGTGGTTATAACTATCGATTGTATTATTATATCCATAATATAATTTGAAATTGACAAATAATAGAAGTTTTAAAGAAATCACTACAAATAGAATCAATAAAAAAATATTTAAATTGCAAGAAAGCTTTTAAAAAAAAAAAAACTGTTTAAGTCAGCAGTATACTTTATCTTCTTTAGAAAGCAAACGCATAAAATAATCGTTCTTAAATATAAATAAAGGAACGCTAAATATAAATACAATAACTATGTTTGGTCAATCTTATATTTAAATTAAATAATCAATTATTAACTTCCAATTTCATTGTTTAGAATTATGTTTTTGATTTATTATATTTTTGGTAGTTTTTTAAGTTGTTTAGTAAGTTAATATGCACTGGATTTAATGAGCGGCCTCATATTGGCCATAATAATCGCGCGACAGTCAGAAATTTTTTTATTTATCATTGATTATAGTAGTCGTGTTTGTGTTACTAGCCAAATTGCAATGTCAATCGATTTCAACATGTCCTCAACCGATGAAGAAATTCATATTCTTGAAGAAGATATTTTGGACGTTAATCTTTTGATAACATTAGTAGAGGAGAGGCCGATATCATGGGATAAGACCAGGGTCGCATTTAGGGGGGTCTCTGGCTACAACTGCCCTGGGCGCCAGTTTTTGGGGGCGCCAAAATTGTGTGGTCGGAAATTTGCTCACTTGTGAATTATTGAACTTTTTAAATTATTTTGAAATTATTATTTTTTTTTTGTTTTTAATAACAGTATCATAAATTAATGTTAATGACATACAGTGGTGTATTGGAGGGTATACGTGGGTATACGCCGTATACCCGGATCCCTATTTTTAGATTTATGCATATAACTTTAAAAAAATTCGTCCATCATGGATATACGCTAACTAATCATTAGTACATAATGGGTATCCCAAGCTTCTAATTTTTTCATCACCGTAAGGTATACATTATACAACAACAACAGTATAGAATTTATTATTATTATTACACACTATAGCCACTATCCAAAAATAGCCTCGTGTCCGCATAAACTTCGATTAAATTTTTCCCGACTTCGGGTATTTGCGAAGACGGTGGGAAACTGCCAAGTGTCTACATACTGTACATCAGAATACCGGTGGACGTGTGCGATATTGTATTATCGAACGGATATTATAATTGTTAAAAATAGATCAACAGTCAAAAAGTTCTGTTTATCAATTTATCACAATATAAACCGATCTGTATACGATGTTTTGGATAGATTGTGATTATTAATTATTATATTATTGTCAGTTTGTCACTTAATCAGTATTTATTCGTCACATATTTATGCAAATTATTTTAAATTAATACTAAAATATTATAATAGATAATAAAACATTAAGCTTCATGAAAATAAATATTAACATCAATATAATGTTTCATATATGATATATACCTATGAGTTAATTAAAGATAAGTTTAAAATGTAGACTTCCATAGCAGGCGTAGATCCAAGGGGACTATGGGGGCGCGCGCCCACTTCAAATCCCCCAAAAATATTTTTTGCCATTTTGTACTTTCCCCCCCTCATGGGAAAAATGTCTGGCGGTGGTATATCCCACGTCCTCATCGTATTATGTAATTTTGCATTTAGGTAGGAAGAACATTTTTTTTTTAAGGAGTTTAGTCCTCCCCTCCCACCAATAAACGCTTATGTGCTGAGCGTATACCCTGCAAAAAAAAATTACGAATACACCACTGGTTAATGTATTTATAGCAATATAGCTATCAGCGATCCAGAATATTATTAATGTACCTAATATTAGTTCCCAAATTTGTTGTGATAATGTCAATAAACATAAGTTATTTATAATAATACGGCGTATTATGTTATCGTGTGCGGCGTGCGGTAACATGCCTACCATGGTGCTACACAAAAACAGCATTGATTTTAGAATATCTAAAATGTTCATAAGGATCAATCTCCTATATTTTCCGTGGGCAGGCCCCTTAGATGGGCGCCATTTTTTTTTCTTACGCCAAGGTGCAAAATGTCTAAATACGGCACTGGATAAGACGTTAAATTCATACTCGGACCGAAACGAGAAAATAAAATGCTGAAGAAACATATTTTATATAATGAAACCGGGATTTGAAGAGCTAGATATAAAGGATCAAAAAATTATTGGTAAATTAAAAAAATTGACGAAAATCATACGAAAATAATTAAAAAAACTTATCAGGATCACTTCTAAGTCCTTCAAAAATTAAAGTAAACGCACCTTCGGATGGATGAGAACTAACTAAAAGATGAACCCACATTTTTCTGTTGATCTTTTTTTTTTTTTTTATTAATAAATAATAACCAAAAACAAAATAATGTTTTCGTCTACTACATCTGCCATGTTATCACACATTGAAGAATTTTTATTCAAAACGCAAAAAAAAAAATATGGGAAATATTGCGCGGTAACATAAAGCTCGCGTATTGGTCGATGTTTTTACCGCGCATTACATGCAGTAAAATGTGGCGTGGTAAAATAATGCTAGTGTGTTGCCAGCCTTAGATTTTTAGATCTTTTATTAAGTGAATTATAGGTATACATATCATATTATTTATATAACTCCTATAATTTAATATATTGTAATAGATGTTTTAATCAAGGGCGTATTTTAGGGGGGAGTGATCACCCCCCTGAATCCGTATTTAAGGAATAGATTATACTAGTATGTGGGATACACATTACAAATTTTTTTAATGTATCCAGACATTTTATAACGAAATCAAATTACGTGTGGCTTTTTGTTGGGTCCATTGAAAAATCAAATTAAACACAAGCGTAACTTTCAAAACACATAAAGGTGTTAAAAAAGAACTACACAAAAGTCGATTCTAAGTGGATTCGACATTAGATTAAAAAAAAAACCACAAATTTTAAGGATTCGCCCGATTTAAATATTACCAACATTTTACTTGTAAATTTTGAACTTGAGTTAAAAAAAAAATCGAATCGCCCCCCCCCCCTCTAGAAGTAAGTCTACATACGCCACTGGTTTTGACGCTTTTAATTATTTAAAATATGTATTGATTATCACACTTTATATTAGAAATAGAACGATGACTATATTGATTTTACAATGATGTGTTTTTTTTTTATATAATAATTAATTATATAATTTAAAATACTAATATTACAAAATTATAAATACCTATAGTTTTTTATAAATCTTTCCGTGATAAGAGATAAGGTTTAAAATTTAAAGTTATAACCACGAACGTGGTCATTCTCATGATTACAGATTTGGATGTGATAAAGTAATGGATCATCATCGAGATAGATAAACAATAGTATTATACAGTCTTAGAAGACTTACACTTACTTTATACACGGTCTTTCAAGACCGTGGTGTTATACATACTATACACAATATAAGATATATTATTTATATATCGTAAACCATGATACTATGGTCAGACTTGGGTAGTATTTCGAATACTGTATTCAGAATTCTTTTTAAATACTTTTTTTGAAAGTATTCAATAAAGTATTTTGAATACTGTTAAATCATCTCTTTTTTAAATGATTTCATTACTTCTCCGTCGTATCTTGTATAAGCTAATATCAGGTATTTATTATTGTTGTTAACCATAAATTATAACAGTTATGTAATATAAAAATATAATACAATAACATATATTTAGTCTACAATTTCAAATATTTCTGTTAAGTGAACATCTATTATTTTTATAATATGAAAACTAGAAGTATTTTAAAAGTATTCGGAAAACTTTTGAAGTATTCTAAATAATGTATTTGGAATACAATTTGTATGTATTTGAATACATATTCGGAATACTATTTTTTGTAAATATTCGAGTATTTATTCTAAATAATTTTAAAAAATATTTTACCCAAGTCTGACTATGGTATTATAGTTAAGGACGTGATATCGAAAGAAAAGTATCGATACTTTTACTTGGTATCGAATCGAATGAAAATATCGAAACGAAAGGACCGATATGGGCATGGATGACTGCAGGAAATATATCAGGGGGGCATAATTAAATCGAACACCAAAAAGTATATTAAAAAAAAATGTATTTTTAGCAAACAATAAAATATGTCAGAATTGTACACACTTTAATCGTTAACAAATAAAAACTGAAGTCTTCGCAGTTGTTCCATTGCAAACCTTGTTATTAATCGTTCGATTAATTTTTTTTTTTTAGGGAGGACAAATGCCCCGTCTTGCCCTCCCCTCTGGGTGCCCATGAATATGAGTAAATCGGTGTTGGTGAGTTGTGGCCTGATCCCTAAATAACGTACGAATTGCGGCCCGTGTTTATGAAACAGGCGTGCGAGTTGCGGCCCGTGTTTATAAAACAGACGTACGAGTTGCGGCCACATTTTACATTTTATTTATCACTTCGTATTAGCCTACCAGCGTTACCCAGAAGACACCACGAGAAGGTTGGCTGAGTCGTCTCCCACAAATTTGTTTTTTTTTTATTTATGTAAAAATGGCAAAATGTATGGTAATTTATGGTAAAATGAATTTTAATATTTATGTAAAATATGTAAAAATATATATATTTATTGGTTGGGCAAAAACTTAAAACTTAATGATTTGACGAAATCAAACTGCTCTAAACTGCTCTATTTCTTTTTGTGCTAGCTTTGTCATCTGTTGTCTTATAAATGCTTCTTTTTCTCATATTTTCTTCGTTTTTATTCTATTTCTTCTATCGTTTTTAGTATTTTGTGGAAACGAAATTTGTAGCCTTCGTAGAGAATAATTGGTTTTGATTTTTCACTATTTACAAACTCCATAACGCACTTATAAT